CAGTCGGAGTTATATTAAAAATTGTCTTTGATCTTTCAAGCTGTTTCATGGCACTCAGCGGGTGAAAAATTATAAAAAAATTGTTGACTAGCTAAAATAAATGTAAGTACTAAAATCTCTAAAACTGAAATAAAAATAAATTAAAGCTAAATAGAAATATGAAAAAACAAAAACAAAAAAAATACAAAAGCACAGCAAAATTACTTAAAGGGTTAGTTCACCCAAAAATGAAAATTAGCCCATAAATTACTCACCCTCAAGTCATCCTAGATGTATATGACTTTCTTCTTTCAGACGAATCCAGTCGGAGTTATATAAAAAATTGTCTTTGATCTTTCAAGCTGTTTCATGGCACTCAGCGGGTGTTGCATGCTTCAGTCCAAAACAAGTTAAATAAAAAGCGCCCATCCATAAAAAAAAAGTGTCTCACACAGCTCTGCGGGGGTGAACAAAGGCCTTCTGTAGCGAATCGATGTGTTTTTGTAAGAAAAATATCCATATTCAAAGTGTAATAATCACTTTAATGTAAGCTTGCGCTCACTGTTGTAAAGGAAAGCAGTTCAGGGCGGATGACGTATGAGGTTGGTGTTGCGCATGCACCGCTCAGAAGTGACGCACGCGGAAGTGCAGGGGAGAGATCAAAACAAAACAACGGTCACTAATTAGAAGTACAAAACGAGGATTTGTAAAGAAGAATGTCGGAGGATTTCGATATAAGCCAAGAGGAGACTGGTTTTCCTTTGCTAAAGTAAGGAAACTTTGCTTCCTTTGATCCTGTTAACAAACGTTGGTTTTCACGAGACTCACCAACGCATGCGCAACGCAACGCTGACCTCATAGGTAATTTGCCCGGAACTGCTCGCAACTGATCGCAAGCTACATTAAAGTGATTATTACGTTTTGAATATAGATATTTTTCTTACAAAAACGCATCGATTCGCTACAGAAGGCCTTTGTTCACCCCCCCGGAGCCGTGTGAGACACTTTTTTTTTCATGGATGGGTGCTTTTTATTGAACTTGTTTTGGACTGAAGCATGCAACACCCGCTGAGTGCCATGAAACAACTTGAAAGATCAAAGACAATTTTAATATAACTCCGACTGGATTCGTCTGAAAGAAGAAAGTCATATACATCTAGGATGACTTGAGGGTAAGTAATTTATGGGCTAATTTTCATTTTTGGGTGAACTAACCCTTTAAACTAAAAATTAAAATAACTGAAAAAAAAATATCTAATTCAAAACATTAAAAATAGTATATAAATAATAATAAAATAAACCCAATCATCATTATTAGGAAATTCATTTTGGTGCCTAAAAGTCCCGGTGGTATGAAGCCTAGGCCCCTGGGCATGATGGTCCACCATCCAGCCCTGGTTCAAGCCAAATCTAACACGTCACGTCACCTGTTACACTGAGTCCAATGAGCACCACAATCAAATAGGTGAAATCTTTGCCAGCTTGTTTGACTGTTGAGGAAAGACAAAACAGTATCAGACATTTATATACCGAATAGCTATAATGAATCTTGAAGAAAAAAACATCATAGTGACAACAGTTCCTGCCAAAATAACATATCTATTGTGGTTAGTGTAACTACTATACGAATATAAAAGATATATAGCCAGGATAAAAAAAAAGCTTTGGGTAACACTTTACAATAAAGTCCCATTAGTTAACGTTAGTAATGCATCAGCTAATAGGAATTAACAATAAGCAATACATTTGTACAGTATTGTTCAAATTTGCTAATGTTACTTCATATCAGCTCTGGTCCATTAAATATTATTAACAGACACAACTTTTGATTTCAAAAATAGAAAATTAGCATAAATAAATGTTTCAAAAATATTTCAATTGTTAGTTCATGTAGTTAGCTAATGTTAACAAATGGAATCTTTTTTTTTTTTACTTCATATCAGCTCTGGTCCATTAAATATTATTAACAGACACAACTTTTGATTTCAAAAATAGAAAATTAGCATAAATAAATGTTTCAAAAATATTTCAATTGTTAGTTCATGTAGTTAGCTAATGTTAACAAATGGAATCTTTTTTTTTTTTTGTAAAGTGTAGCTTAAGAATCATCGTGTTTCAATAATTTTTTTCTAGTGACAGTAGCTGGTAATACCGATTTCTAACCCTAACTAAGGTCATTTTGGCGGAAACTATGGTTACTTTTGTGCTGCACGTACCTTTCTGTGCTGCAGACGGGCTTGGAGGTGTGGGGGAACTTCTGGAAACTGGCACCTGGTCCGTGTCCTTCCCATCGTTCCTACTACAAAAATGAACTCCAGTGTAAAGCGAGCGAGTGTGATAAAATGTCCACTTGAACGCAGGACATCGGTTTGTTTGAAAAACAGGTCGTAAAGCGGAGGTCTGTTGTGGTAATCTGACATGCACACGTTTTAATATATGCTGCAAACACTTTGTCGTTCGTCCGATTCTGAATACTGAATACATCATGATTCCTTCTAGTATGATAAATGAGCTGTCGAAAAAGTTAACCTAATTATGTACCGTGCATAACTCTAAATTACATTTTTTAATGCTGACTTTCACATGTCTTCTTATCGTTTACAGGTTGCCATATTGAACAGCCATTAGTTGTTGGCTTCACGCCTGCGGCCTTCATTTTTCAAAATAAAAGTCCCGATTCACGTAAAGAGGCGGCTCAGAATTTTTTCACTGGAATTTTTCTTTTGGCAGTGAAATATTGAACTGTAACACTAACAAACACAAAACGTGTTTACAATATTTCAAGACGTTGCATTTTAAAATTCTAGAAACCACACCTATAATTACAATGTAACCAAAATAAAACATTTTAGTTGTGGAAAACGTAGTCTGGTAGTCTTCAGAAACTTTTTCTTTCTTTCTTTCTTTTCTAACCCTAATGAAAAAAAACACACACACCAGCCTAAAACCAGCCTAAGCTGGGTGGCTGGTCTTAGCTGGTTTTAGCTGGTCTCCCAGCCTGACCAGCGGAGACCAGCCAAAACCCCTCTAAAACCAGCCTGCTGACCAGCTATGACCAGGCTGGACAACCAGCTAAAACCTGCCAACCAGATGGTTTTAGCTGTTTTTTTTTCAGCAGGAAAAAAAAATACATTTAAAAAAAACTGTCCCAAACTACATATTTATGTTTTATAACATAATCTGAACCTTTGAAAGTTTCTAAAACATAAAAAAAAATACTGAAATACAATCAGGTAAAATGGTGGAACATTATTTCTCTACTTTTAACAAACGTCATTAGCAAATCTCTACCAGCAACGTAATTATAAACATTCACTTCGTTTTTGGAATTACTCGTAGTATTTTAACTTTGTGAACGAAAGTCAATAAACAAAATGTGTTATGTATTCATGTTGTAAAGATACATTGCTGTCTCTTTTGCATTGTATTACATACATGGCATCTTCATTTTTGTAATTGCATATTAGCAAATTTCGGTCTAATATTTTCCATACCAACTCTCATATTTACAATGCTATTTTCATTATTCAGAAGTTACAAAGTCTTGAAGAAACATCCTTGATTTATTTGACATTTGTATTCCATAATCTGCAAAATTTTGTTTCAATTCCCATTTCCATTCATCTATGAGTATCCATGACATATACCTTTATTAATGAGTGTATACATATCAGCCTATCTTACCAGCTAACACATGCTTTAAAAACATCTTTCTAAAAACCTTTTTGTTACTAGAAAATCCCTTTCAAAGTAGTCAAACAGAATATGTTTGTTTATTTGCCCTAAACAACAGCAACTGAAAGTATTTCAAAAATTATTTAAGTAAAGGAATATTCCCATAGTTTAATTTACTCATAGATGGTATATAATAAATTATGATGATTAGCATGCAGTTAGTAAGTATAGGAGTAAACTAGGGGAGGGAAAGGGCTTAGTGTCATTCCATTTGTTTTATATATTAGGGGTTGCACCAACTATGGAGAACGCATATTTTAAACAGCTTATTGTACAGGTAAGTTAATCGCTGTCCTAATCTAATGTGCTGCTGCACTGTAACGCACACACATAGGACAGTAGCTCGTACATCTCGAGCAGATCGCACGCACACAGAATCATTCAGCTGTATTGTCAACTTGTCAAATGTATTGTCAACACTGTTCTGTGATTTCTCAATAAAATAGCTTAGAAACTGAAAAGTTCAATCATGTATTTCTTAATAACTATATCCCACAGCTTCACTACTAGTAGAGAGACGCTGCCAGGTAGAATTAGGCCTACTTCACTCATGCAATCGCTGTCTCACTAATGCATTTATACTGTGCTACTTTATCTGTATCTGATTTAGAACGAGCAGAAATCTGTGAGAAATATAACGACCCAAAGACAAAAGAACTGATAAAAAAATGAGCTGTTATAGGAGCGATAGCCATGTGGGCAGCGCTGTGTCATATGCCATAGCTGTGCAGGTGTTTGTCACAGCCCCAGACTTATTTGTTCATTAATGACGTCATCAGTGAGTCGACTTCGACTCGACTTTCATCACATAAAAGTCGACTTTAAAAAAACAGAAGTCGTTCAACCCCTAATATTTGTAATTAAACCTATTTACAATCAATTAGTCTTGGGTTTGATGCTGTACCTAAATGCGCAGTCACTCACTTTAAAAATGAGAAAGAAAACATGCATGTAAATCATAATATTAAAGTGACTGACAAATATGTAGAGAGTGTTTGCTGAAAGTCACAAATATGAAATATCCGATGTCTTAAAAGCATTTGAACAAATAAAATGACAACTTTTGGTGGCAAAACATGACAATAAAATGCATGCACTACAACAGTCCTGAAAGTACTAATTCACATCTATTCAAATAAATGAACAAACTTTCATGTAATGTTCTGCAATCCTAAATAAGTAACCTTAATGTGCCTAAATTAGGAACTGCGCGTTAAAGCAATTCCATCACAGTCACTTTCTTTGTTACCGAATCCACGTCCTCCTTTACATCTGCAGGATGTTTTGATACATTTATCTTTAAAATGTCCATGTTATTATCATGCTGGTGTATATCTCCGGTCCACATTTTCATATTTCATTGAAGCCCGTTCATACTGATCCAGAATTGCACTATTTTCAAGAAGTCTACATGACGGAGACAATGCATGATGGGAGATGAGAAAAAAACACAGCATTGCACATTACACACTATGACACACACAAAATAATTTGCAAAGCACAAACATAACAAAATCACCATTAATATAAAGAAATGCTGCTCTTTGTAGATTATTAAGACTGACAAAAACTTCATTTCATGTTTAAAAGTATAAAACACATCAGTGTATATCATAGTATAGGTAAAATGCATAGATAAACTGTTTGGAAAGTTTATTTTTTACATTTAAAGCTATCAAAGACATTTTAAATGGATATTTCACCAAAAAGGAAGCTTCTCTTATTTACTCACCCTTATGTTGTTTTAGACCCCCTTTCTTCTGTGCAACACAGAAAGGTGAATTTTGGAAGAATATTATGAAAGTGAATGATAGTGTTGTTATTGTTATTAATTAAAATTGTCACTGAAATGGTAAACCTAAAAGTGTGGTCAAATTATAGCTGAAAAAAATATATTATAAGAACTTAAAACAACATTAAAAACTTAAACAAAAATGGCAAATGTTACTTTGCCAGCCAACTGAAATAAATGTGTTGAAGTGCTAAAATTACTAAAAGAATATGTAGAAATTAAATATGTAGAATTAAGAAAATGACAAAAGCACATAACAAAGTGACTTTTAAATCTGAACATACTGTATACATATATACACGGCTAATTCTAAATATGAATAAATACAATAATAATATACTAATATTAATAAATACTGAAATAAATAAATAAATGACCAAATTATGAAAACCTTAATTAAAATGCAATCTAGAAATGTTACCTTTGACATAAGTACTATAAAATGACAAAATCACTAAAAATACTGAAATAATTATATATAACCAAATTGCTATGTATATACAGTGGGGCAAAAAAGTATTTAGTCAGCCACCAATTGTGCAAGTTCTCCCACTTAAAAAGATGAGAGAGACCTGTAATTTTCATCATAGGTATACCTCAACTATGAGAGACAAAATGAGAAAAAAAATCCAGAAAATCACATTGTAGGATTTTTAAAGAATTAATTGGTAAATTCCTCGGTAAAATAAGTATTTGGTCACCTACAAACAAGCAAGATTTCTGGCTCTCACAGACCTGTAACTTCTTCTTTAAGAGGCTCCCCTGTCCTCCCCTCGTTACCTGTATTAATGGCATCTGTTTGAACTCGTTATAAGTATAAAAGACACCTGTCCACAAACACAAGGTATGAGTCAATTCAAAATATTAATAAATACTAAAACAGTATATAAATAACACTGATGAATGATACTTTAATGGTGCTCCATTTGTCATTTTGGACAAGGTATTCTACAAAAATTCACCTTTTGTGTTTCACTGAAGAAAGTCAGTCAGGGTGAGTAAATAACATTTTTAAAAGCACTCCTATTTTTGTTCACAAACTACAATTTCCTTTCATTAGGGTTGAATGTTGACAAAGTGTATGTAAGACAAGCACAGATGGCCCTTGAAGAAGTGTTGTTCTTCGGCTGCCCATACTTTTTTACCATCTTGTAAGGAGTACTTAAAATTGCCTTTGACTGGATCTGAAATGCCTATTTTGATATCCTTAATACAAATCATCAGATTGATTCCATGCACATCACTGAACGTGATAACATACAAAACAAATGAAAGAAAGCTAAAATGACAAGCAACATATAGGACCTCACCAATAAGCAAGATGGTCAACAAGTCCTAATGATGACCATCTCAATGACAATGAAGGGGTTCGACAAAACAGAAATAAAATAGTACAAGAAAAAAATGAACACTGACTCACAGTGACTAGACAAACATTTAAAAACATGAAATTAAGTGTGTTTAAAGAGTCTTACCTTCAGATTGTCTGTTACACCCTAGTTGTGTTGTACTCAGTTTCATGTTTGTTTAGAGACCCAATGAGGCAGAACCTGGAATATCATTGCTTTTATGTTTAATATCATGGTATTTGCTGCATAAGGAATTATAATGCACATTTCATTTGTTTGGGGTCTAGTTCTTTTGCATCCTGTCAGGAGAGCATTAAAAAACATGCCCTAAATGTGCATGCATATAATCGGTTTCTCTTTTTTACCCTGAAAATCACTTCATAAAGCTTTAAGCCATTATCAAGGATTGGACGAATAGAAACACTCTTTTTTTCATGTCCTTTTCTCTTAGGGATAATTATTTTGCAACTGTTCAAAAGTTTGAGGTCAGTAATTTTTTTTTTATGTTTTTGAAAAAAGTCTCTTATGCTCATCAAGGCTGCATTTATTTGATCAAAAATACAGAAAAGCAGTAATATCGTGAAATATTTTACAATTTAAAACAACTGTTTTCTATTTTAATATATTTTCAAATGTTATTTATTCCTGTGATGACAAAGCTGACATTTCAGCATCATTACTCCAGTCTTCAGTGTCACATGACCCTTTAGAAATCCTTCTAATATGCCGATTTGCTGCTCAAGAAACATTTATTATTATCAATATAAAAAAAAAAACAGTTGTGATACTTAATATTTTAATGCATTTTATTTCAGGATTCATTGATAAATATAGCAATTTAAAGAACAGCATTTATTTGAAATGGTAATGTCTTTACTGTCATTTTTGATCAGCTAAATATACATACTTGCGGAATAAAAGTATTAATATCTTTAAAAATAGAATTCTTACTGACCCCAAACTTTTAAACACTATATCATTATCAAAACTGAAGCAGTTTCGATAATTTCAAATATAATATTCTCTCTGAAAATGAACCTCTGAAAAACACAAAAAAAGTGTTTATCCATCAGTTCCATCTTCATGCAGCATGTCTATAACTGAACATTAATCTTAAGATGTCAGCTTTGCTGATTGAGGCCTGTAAACATGCAGCAGGCATATTCTTAAAGCATCTTCTGCATCTCTTTTACAAATCCAACTCTGACCGTGACAGCTGTCTTAGTGACAAAAAAGAGAAGATCAAAGCAAAAAAAGAATGAAAAAATAGCTAAAACAAATCAATGGGAAGCTGAGTAGAGAAGCTAAATAGGAATAAAAAACTAAAAGTGGGAGTAAATCGTTCCAAAATATGCAATAAGTCGATTTTTTTTCTCATCAAAAATCAATGGATACTGACCGCTGCATTGCTTTCTCATGTCTGGACAGCCTGTGGCTGGTGGTGGGCACTTCCTCCAGGTCATCATCCAGGTCACAGGCATCCGCGGCATCTTGTGAGTAGGTGTGTCTCATTACCAGAATGTTCCTGCTGTTGGTTTTGGGAGGAAGCGGCCGCATGGGCTGCGATGGGAGGTCCGTCAGGATGGCGGCCGTGGCCTCGCGGGCGCTCAGGTTGGTGCGGCTGCCCTTGCTGCTGGACAGCTGCGAGGACCCGCAGTGATGCTCGTGGACGCAGCGTGAGGAGGTGCGCCGGAGCTTGTGGTAGCTCTCAAAGTCCTCGGCCAGCTCGGCCAGGCTGGAGGTGGCTGCCGCGCTGCGGAGAGTGCAGAGCTCATAATGCGGCGGCTCCTGGAACACCTCCTGGAAAATGGTGGGGTCAAAGTCCTCCCGCCTCAGGATGTACTTCTTCCGCGGCTGCTTGATTTGGACGATGACTGATACGACCAGGAGGATCAGTACGATGCAGCATGTTACGCCAATGATGGTGCCGTTGGTGTTGTTGAGGTTGTCCAGGATGTTGGCTTTCCGCTTTTCTGCAAAACACAACAGAAAGCGTAATAAATTATTACTGCAGGCATGCCATGTCATCGCAGGTTACCTTCTGTTGAAACTGTTGTACCAAAGAGATTACAAACAGCACGCAGAAGTAGTAAATCATTCTAATGGGAGAGCTTTGACATTTATGTAGCACAGTGAGAGTATAACATCTGTGCTGGCTTTGGTTCAACGGAGAGGAGCATTTGTATTCAGAGGTGCAAACAAACCACAAATGAAGGCTTTATGATATGTTTCCAAAATGAAATATGACGTTATTGTACTAAAAACATTATTGAAATATTTTCTGCATATTTTTTTATATGAATTATTTAGTAGTATTTATTGAAGTATTGTAATTAATGTTTTTTTTTGTTCTTACTGTTTATCTTGGTCTGAGAAAAATATTATATAAGCTGCATTATATTCTAAAGCTGACATATATTATGTGATATGTGATACATGCTGTTTCCATTAAATAATTTAATAATTTGGCTTTCATGTCACTGTAATAACACTAAAACAATTATTCAAATATTACCTTTGTATATACATATTGTTCAAATAATTTTCTTTGTGTATATATATATATATATTAATTATTTTGTAATATTTACAATATTATTGTAAGTATTGTTTTTTCTTACTTTTTATTTCATACTGTTCGTCTTGGTCTGGGGAAAATATTAAGTATTTAAAATGGACAGATATTATAAGATATCTGATACACATCTAATGTATTGTTTCCATAAAATAATTTGGCTTTTATGATGTCTGTTACGGGGCTGACGAGACGTGAGACTTGCGGATCCATTCGCAGAGCTTTATTAGGCACAGAAAAGATGTAATTAATCTTTCAACCAATCTTTAGAAAGCAAAAGCAAATAGCAATAAAATGTACTTTATATATGTGTTAAAAACATCTCTGAAGTTAACATACAAAGACAAGCTTAAAAAATACATTTTTCCATCTTAAATTTTCAATGAACCCCCAAAATTAATATCATTAAATTAAATTGAGTATTTATTATATCAATTTAGTTATATATTTAATTAAAACCAGTAATGATGGACAAATATCAAGGATGCTCACCGTTTTAGGTGAAATATTTTCTGAATAAATGAGCAAAAAATACAACACATTTCATTTATTTACTTACTATTGTAAAAAACAATCTGTGCTAAAACACCACTCCCGTATCCTCTACGGAGGCTCCCGGCACTATTTCCAACATTATTTAATTCAGCTTGGACAGCTTATGTGAAATATAAGCACAGATGTAGCCGAACTGCACTTACAAATTGATGCTATTATTCAAACCAGCCTGAGCCACAGTCATTCACGTATACAAATGGATTTCTAGTGGCCAGCTCATTTTTCTTAGCGACATTACAGTAGTGTATGCAAAGTCAATCAATGAACTCCAGCGCAGAGGATTGAAGGCTTTATAACAAGGTCTTTTTTAACAGCTGTGTGAAAGCAGTAAGATTTTGTTGACTAGCTATCAAGCGTGAAGGGGACAAAGTAAGACAATGCTTCTCCCCAAGTATTGATTTTCATTTAGAGAAAAACAAAGGCTGACATATTTACGTACAAACTTCTAAACATTGAGAGGATAGTAAAAAAAAGAAAAAAGCACAATTTACCTTTGCAGTGGTTTTCGTCCCAAGGGTAGACACAGTTCTGGACTCCGTTGCACACCAGTGTGTTGTTGATACACATGTTACTATGGCAAAAGAAAGTATCTGCCTCACAGGGAGCTGATGAGAGGGAAAAACAGATAATAGATAATACTAATGTCATATTACACTTCATTTCTCTTTCTGTTAATAAGATGCTGTCTATAATCTTACCTTCGGAACAAAATTAATCTCACAAATCACACTGGATTCAATACAATACAATACATCTGTGCATCAATACAGTTCAAATTTAGAAAGCCATTACTCAATCCAACCAAATCAAATTCTGTTGCCTTCTGCTAGACATGAATTTTAATCCATCTTTTCAAATATGCATGGAAACAAGTCTGTAGAAGCTGCGCAGATATCTTGTAATAATTCTATTAATATTATTCTGGTTTAATCCCAAGAAAGAGTCTATATAGGCATATACTGTGAATTAAAATCCTTAAAGGGATAGTTCACCCGAAAATGAATATTTTGAGTAAATTAATCATTTACTCACCCTCATGTTGTTCCAAACCTCTATGAGTTGAACACAAAAGAAGATATTTTGAAGAATGTTGGTAACCAAACAGTTGCTGGTAGCCACTGGCTTCCATAGTATGGAAAAACAAATACTGGAAGTTAATGGCTACCAGCAACTGTTTGGTTATCAACAAATTCATACAGGTTTGGAACAACATGGGAGTGAATAAATGATGACAAGATTTGCATTTTTGGGTGAACTTTCTTTTAAAATTGATTAAAAATTCTGAGATAATTTCATGAGTTTCTGTTAATTGCCTATATGTAATGCAAGCACAAACTGCAAGTATAATATTTCCAAAAGTGCTAATATCACTCAAGATCAAAGAAGATTAATCTAATATAATACATTAGGGTGGATGTTTGAACACTCTTAATTTGAACTTAAAAATGAACGAATGTCTCTGAAATCATAAAATGATAAAGGAGAAAGTATTCATAAAGAGAACCTCTTGCAACATTTACAGCATTCACACTATCAGCAGACTCCATTAAAGCCAAGGTGACTTTCAGAATGGGCGGAGCTTCGGCCTCAATCACCTCGCATGCATAAGTACCTCACACGCCCACCAATGTGTGGCCAGTTCCCACATACCTCACTTGACATGCTTATTTTGCAGTCTGCAGGGAACATCACCCAGTTTGTAAAAAAAAAAAAAAACAACCTTAAACTAACACAGCTTCAGGGTTGACTGGTTGTACATTGCGGATTTATTAATGACCATATATTCCCAAGCTGTTCCCAGGTGAGAAATAACGACGTAAATTAGGATGAGTCATCATTCCAGAAGTGCTGTCCTCAGGACTCTCGACTTCATATTCTGATTCAGTTTCACTTTCCACCACAAGATCGCGCTGCAGGCCTGTACCTCTCCTAAGTAAGTCACTAAACGAGACTGGACTTTATTTAAAGTTGATTCAACCTTCATATACAGTGTTGGGGGTAACGCATTACAAGTAACGCAAGTTACGTAATCAGATTACTTTTTCCAAGTAACTAGTAAAGTAACGCATTACTTTTTAATTTACAAGAGAATATCTGAGTTACTTTTTCAAATAAGTAACGCAAGTTATTTCCCCCCCCCCCAATTTATTGATTGACAGTTCTCCTGTCCCCATGTTGAGAGAAATCAGAAGATGTTACTGTAGTTCTAAAATAAATATGAATATGCATTAATTCATCTCGCTCACAAAAAAAAAACACAGATTCAGTATTCCTCAAAATGAATAAAAATAATGCAACTCAGAATATGACGCAAACCTGCAATAATTAAATGTTAAACAACACAAATGTTCTTTGTATTTAATCCCATTCTATTAACCAATGTCTTTGCTTCTGACCTTCGATGATCCAGTTCAACCATACTAATAAGCAAAAATTACTTTTTTTATTGCTGAAGTGTGTTGAAATTTCATCTTCTGCATTCTACTGTATGGATGTAAATTCACTTTCCCTTCAGCCTGAGGCTTATTCATTTCACTTTTGGTCTGAAAAGGCTTTTATAGTTGCCAAAAATAGAACTTTTTTATTTTAAAAACAAACAAGCAAGCCCTGTCCAGATTTTAAAAAGTAATGCAAAAGTAACGTAACGCATTACTTTCCACAAAAAGTAACTAAGTAACGTAATAAGTTACTTTTTTTATGGAGTAACTCAATATTGTAATGCATTACTTTTAAAAGTAATTTTCCCCAACACTGTTCATATATATGAATTTCTTAAGACCTTATGAGAGTGGTAACACTTTATAATAAGGTTTCAGTTGTCAACCAGTTAATGCATGAGCAAATTTGAACTACCATTTTAGCAATTTCTATTTTTTTTTTACAGCATTTATTAATATTTGTAAATGTTGATGTTGCTAATGTTAACAGATACAACTTTTAATAAAAAAAGCATTAGTAAATGTTCAAATTTATATTAGTCAGATTAATAAATGCTGTAGATGTTATGTTCATTGTTAGTTCATGTTAACTATTTTAGTTAACAAAAAAAAACAAAAACAATGTTAACAAATTAAACCTTAACGTAAAAGTATTACCATAAAAGTAGCCATTTGCACATTAACCAGTGCATTAATTAAACAACTTTTACAAGAAAAAGAAGAAGAAGAAGAAGAAAAAAAACCACAAATGTGGACAAGTTATCGCTTTCTAAAAATAAAAGTCCTGATATTAAAAGATTAAACAACTTTTTGGTTTAATTAGTAATATATGTAAAAATATGGACAAACCACATCATGAAAATCAGCCATTGGACATGAAATTCACAGCAAAATGTTTTGATTCAGCACTTTTTGTCTTGTTTTCCAGTACAAATATCTAAACATTCTTAAATCAAGATGCAATTACTTAAGAAGTAAAACTATGTAAAAGTCAAGTCTTGTTCAACATTTAAAATGTATAAAAATGAAGTTAGCTTATGCTGAAAACAATACAAATATATTGTTTCCTGAATTTCTTACCCCAATGACAATTATATTAAAGATAAACTTAATTTTGTTATATTTTTTTTTATATATATTTATATTCAAAATTAAGTAAGTTTAGGCTTAAAACAAGAAAAAGATATCTGTCACTGAGGTAAGAAACATAATTTTGTTTTGCCTTTGAATATATATATTTTTTTAATTCAGGAAAACAAAAGTTAGTTAAACTAACAAAAATAGTTTTTTTCTTATTTTAATCATAAACTCATTTAATTTCTATATGTTTCAATTTTAAAGTAATTCAGTAATTTGTCTTATCAAATAAATGTAACTTGATTTAAGAATTTTATAAAATTGAATTGGAAAACAAGACAAGAAAAAACTTGCTTGTTTTTGCAGTGTGTGAATGAATTTTGATTTGAATCCATTTAATCATGCATCTAAAAACATAATATGCTTTTGTAGTAGAGCGAACACATACAGTTTGATTTATTTAAAGGTATTGGGCAAGACCCTTTTCAGAGGATGGTGGCTTCCCCCATTCAGCTGCTGAGTCAAGCAAACCAGAGGGAGAAATCCAGTGAGAGAGAGAGAGAGAGAGGCAGTGCATAAGTAAGTGCCTGAACAAGTTATGCAGGGGTGTTACCCGGGCAACCGCACATCCTGTGTTCATTTACTGGATAGGGCTGCACAAAGGACACTGGGCTCCTACACAAATCCACCTATCGCCATTCACGAGACTGACGCAGGTGCACAGCTGCCTCTTTCTGTCTCAGAAAGAGCATTTTGTGTTTTCTGCACCCTCAAGGGCCTCAGCACCAAACCACAGACTCACTCCCTCAACCATTCTTCTCCCGCTTGCTTCAGGATATCCGTCGCTCTCTTTAAACGCACACTAATGTCCATTAAAGCCCAGCAATCAGTCAGAGAAAGTGGAAGCTGTGCTGCTATGCAGTAGTCTGGAATTGGGCACAAAATTGCTCATTTACTATTCCTGACGCCAGGGGTTTTCAAACCTTTCGAAACCAAGGACCCTCAGATATGATGACTGCCTTGTAATAAATAAAGAAAGCCATATATTTTACATGTATTAAAAATTAAAAAAATAGTGATTCTAAAAACAATATATATTTCTAAAAATTTCAAGTATTAAAATATATTTAATACATTTTTTTAAAACATAAAAAACTGTTACTGTACAACATACAGTGGGTATAGAAAATAATCACCCCCCTTTACAATAAATACATTTTGTTGCTTTGCAGCCTGAAATGAAGGCGGACAACGTTTTTGTTTGTGATACAAACTATATATTTGACAGCTGATTTTGCCGTGCACAATGAGGATGGTGGCATCATTTCCTTTTAATCGTTTACCCATAAGTGGGATGGTGTGAGTAGGCTGGGGTCGTTTTTAGGGGCCACTGGGACAAGACGAATGGCGACGGGACGTCACAGGAACGGCGGCGGGACCATTACAAAGAAAGGTGTTTGATGCTGGCAGTGCACACTAATGATGAGTGTGCTACAAGTCAAACATTAAACCCCCATTTTATCACCCTATACCCCCTTTCTCTCTCTCTCTCTCTCTCTCTCTCAGCACTTCCTCTCATAGTCAGACACTCAGTCTTTATTGTTCCTCTCCTGTCCCTGCTTTCTCACAATACTTCATCCTCTTTTAGAGCACCCATCCTTCACGTTCCTTCTTTTTACTTTCTCTCCTCCCTCATTACGTTTTATAGTGTCTGACTCTGCTAGTGTTGCCACCTGGAGAGATGCGACCCCGATTGTGCAGGACCACCCAATCAAAGACACCCGGGTGGTGGGGCACCACACAGACCCCATGCTTCCTAGAAATGGCTCCGTCCCTGCAGAAACAGCTCATCCCTTAAATGAACAATCTTGTAATTCCGTGCATCTGTGGTCTCGCCTGTAGCCTGTATGTTTTTATAAAGGCTATTTAGCAGAGGAAACAGGCGAAGTGATTTTTATATTCAACATGGGAAGGTATGCAATCGATTTTACCATGCTAGAGTAATGTTCCTGTACTAATTAAATAACAAATAGTTTATGTGTTTCATTTCGAAATAGTGTTAATTTTGTTAACAAAAACCTTTTTTTCCATGACTAAGATGAGACGAAGATGAGACAACACTGACATCAATAAACACTAACTCTCATAACATTTCTCCATATTTTCTATAATAAAAAGAGGAGAAAATACTCTAGACCTCCAGGAGTTTCCATGCTTGGGGTTGCCAGATGTCCAGAGTTTAAATCCCCCTACTAGCTTCTCTCTTAAAAGTATACAGTAGTTCATGCAAAAATGAAAATTCTGTCATCATTTCCTCACCCTCATGTTGTTCCAAACCTGCATGAGTTTCTTTCTTCGGTTGAGTACAAAAGAAGATATTTTGAAGAATGTTGGTAAATAAACAGTTGACGGTAGCCATTGACATCCATAGTATGAAAAAAAATACTCATACTCCAAAAATACCCTTAAAAAGGACACATTTTCTGCCCTGTGTTTTACTTTATCTTTGCAACCTCGCACACGCTCTCTCTTAAAAAACGTTGATGATCTGAAAACATTGACAAACATATATAGAGAATCCATGTTACTTCAAACTGTAATAAATCCAAATCCAAATCCAAATGTGGATCTGTTTGTGATTGAGGTTGCTGAATAAATGCACTTATGTAACCTCTGTATGTATAGATCATTATGTATATATCTCATAATAATAATATCATATATCACATACATCATTATAACATGCTGGTTTGGAAACATTTCTTTTTATTATATGACAATGTTGAAAATATTGGTATACAAAATACTGGATAAGATTTTTTTATTACATTTTTGTTTGTTTTTAATTTTATTTAAAGATGCATTAAATTGATCAAAGGGGACAGTAAAGAGATTTATAATGTTACAAATGATTTATATTCACCTATTCTTTTACACCTTCTATCCATCAAAGAATCCTGAAAAAAATGATCATGGTTTCCAAAAAATGTTAAGTAGCAAAAACATTTTTTAATATTGCAAAAAAAAATTCTAGAATACCAAATTAATACTGGTATATTAGAATGATTTCTGAAGGATCATGCTACACTGAAGGAGTAAATTCAGCTTGGCCATCACAGGAATAAATTACATTTTAAAATGTAAACAGTTATTTTCATTTCAACAGTCGTAAAATTTCACAAAATTGCTTAAATATTTTGATTAAATAACTGCAACCTAGTGAGCATGAGAGACGTCTTTCAAAAACATTTAAAGGGGTCCTATTATGCTCTTTTACAAAGTCTTGATTTTGTTTTGGGTGTGTACTAGAACAGGCTCTCATACACATTAAAAAACACATTATTTTTCACATATTTTACATTATTACAACATCTCTCTCCCCAGTCTGACATGAATGGCTCGAATAGTTCCTATATCAAATGAAAGCCCACCTTCTGAAATACGAAATGTGCTGTGATTGGTTAGCTGGGCCAGTGTGTGTTGTGATTGGTACCACCCGGCGCTTGGACGGGAACTGTCATGCCCCTTACCATAGCCGCCTGCGAGCTTCAGTGTAAATATTGCATCAAAATCAAATAAATTTGAGTGCGATTTAAGTCCGGATGATTGTAACCACTTTAAGTTCGTCTGCCTTGGGAAAGCTAGCGTGTCTCCAACATAGTGATAACACTCGTTGTCTTCTCTAGTGCAGCTCAACCAGGTCTCATCCCATTCGTCAGTATCTGTGATATCACAAATCCCGGAAAATATGTGTTGTAGTCCAAACGAGTTGTTCGTTGTAGTTTTTGAAAAGTGATTTTTGTTAAATAAAATATCTCCTTTTGAAGTGGACTTTGAACTTTGTAACTTTGCAGATCTTCTTATGCTCAAACAGCAACATTACAGACTAACTAAAGTAAAAAAAGTGAAAAAGCATAATAGGACCCCTTTAAAAAATCATACCCACCTCAAACTTTTGAATGGCAGTGTAATTTCTTATTTTCTTGTCATTGACCCAGACATTTTTTCACGAGATTCACATGGTGTAAATGACTAACAAAACAATAAATACATTATAAACACACATGAGGGTTGGATAGGAGAGCTGTGTGTTATGACTTACGCTCTTGGAAGGTAGTGAAGAGTATCCGGAAGCGGCTCTTTCGGCTGCCCTCGTCGGCCCACATGCGGACCACGCCCAGCGTGGACACCAGCATGATGTCATTGGCCACCGTGCTGCAGAATTTATTCCTCAGGTCTTCCACCGAGCTGCTGCCGTCGTACACCGCCACGAAATTACGTTTACACTCGTTGGAGTTCTGCATCTCGTAGTCTAGGAAACGCAAGTAGATCTGAGAGAGAGAAGAAAAGAGGGAAACACAGACTCTTACACCCATTGGAAAATCTATTAATTCTAACACACAGAGAACTTGATTTTCACAAAGGAAATGGACACTTCTGTCGAAATAATCTTTTTTTTTCGTCAGTGGTTTCAATGCACCCATCCCAGTTGACATCTAGATTACCTGATAAACTGTGCTTGCTTTAACAACAGATCTCTGTAGTCAGAAAAGCCTCACATTGATGATAATTGCACAGATAGATCAATAGCAAGAACACAGAGGGTTATGCTTGAAATTCAGCTCGGACACAGAATTGAAAGGTTTCAAAAAGTTGCAGTGATGAGCTCTCAAACTACATCCACTCAAACCAGCTCCTTTGGGCTCTCTAAAAACCAGAGAGGTGTTAGAACGAACCATCTGTTCTCTTCTCACGCAATCTAACCCTAAACAAGCTTACTTCACACCTTTCCTCATCCAGACTCCCGTTTTCACCATTTGAAATATTAGAAAATTATGTAATCATTTATTCACCTTCATGTCTTTCCAAACCTGCATGACTTTCTTCAGTGGAACACGAAAGGTGAGTTTAAAAAAAATATCCTGGCCACTTTTTAAATATAAGAAAAGGGAAATATGACAAAACATCACAATAAAATTATCATAAAAATGATCTGATTTGTGTGCCACATTCCAATACAAACTGAAGTCTGCATGAAATTGAAATTCACCCTAACTATTTTCTAAATGCATTGTGAACTATTCATCCATACATATTAGAATTTTTGAGCTTGTAATTTTTAAGTTGATCTTCTGGTCAAATTACATATTTTGTCCTCAAAACCCTTTCTTACAGTCAACTGTAGGCTCACATTCAGATCTGTTTCTATCCAATCAACAACCGAATCATATGATATAACTGAGTCCCTGTCCTACATTTTTCTTTTTAATAATCCGTTTCACTTGGATGTGCATCACAATACAGAAGAAAAGACCTGTCGCTACTTCCTTTACATTGCAAACTTAGTAACTTCATGTGAGGAACAGATCAAAATTCGTGATAGAAGTAGCAAGAATCTTTCAAGTTGTGAACACCTTTTTTGTAGCTTGTAGCTTTTCAATTAATCAGTTGATTGAGTTCACAAAAGCAGTCTGAATGAATCATTCACAAATCAATTGGACTCATTCAATTGCTATCATATGACTTCAGAAGATGCAAACAAGCAACTTTTGTGATGGTTTTGCATCCTTTCTTTAGCTTTCAAACTACAGTCTCTATTCCTTTGAGACCATTCTTCAAAATTTCGCTTTGTGTTCCACAGAAAGTCAGTCAAACATTTTTTGGTATGACATAAGGGTAAATGACAACATTTTAATTTTGAGGTGTACTTTTCCTATAAATACTTTGCCAGAATGATCCTCACCATGATAAACCAAGTAACACTATTTGACAGAATCAAAACTTCCAAATATTAGCACAGTGTTCTCCTCTCAGCGGTTGGAGTTGAGCACTTGGTGTTCCATTATGACAAGTAAATGAAGCAACCTAGTTCAACCAGTGGCTTGTGTGTTACTCAACAGCTCAGTAAATCTTCTCATTGTAATAACATTTCATTCAGCACATTTACACTTTTATAGGGGGACTGGTCGGTGTATCATTCCAGCAATGTTGGTTGGTTTGTCCTTGCCACCCCAAACTATGCTCACACCTACAATATATGAACTAGTGACACCCTAGTCTTTCTGGACTGCTGTGGTGTGTACAATCTCTCATCATCAGCAAAAACAGGGGGCGTCACTTATACCCACACTGTACATAAACCCCCCACTTACTGCCTCATACTGTATGTTTCATTTGTTTAGATGTAACATACAGTATGAGGCTTTCCAGTTCCCTCAGAGAATCACATGAAAATTATAGGAGACTCGCTACAGTATGTGCCAGCTTGTTAGGACTTGTTATTACTTGTTATTATAATTTACTAGGCGGAATATGAGGAATGTGCGAGATGGTAATTAGACATAATTGATTATATAAAACCTTAAGGAACCCGACCGGTTATTAAGACAGACTCATCTAATAATCTAATAACCTTAGGGCAGCTGAAAGCAAAATCCAGAAACTGATCCTGAAAGTACATACACTGACAACTGAGTGGCCAATCACTAACATTGCATTATAAACCCTAAGGTAGAGGAATATATAATGTGAAAAAAAATCAAATATTTAATCCAAAGATTTGGGCTGTCCTCAGATTACACAGTTTTATCATTGCACACTAATTAGTGGTGCTTGCTATTCCTCTTAATTTGTATATTTTCCACCCAAAATTTGACACATAACTCATCAAACACCATCTGTGATACTAACAGAACAATAAGTCTGTTTGTGATTTTCTAAGTGATCAGACACACAGTATGAACAAAACAAAACAGTTTAAATTTTAAATCTATTTATATCATCGTTTATATTTAACAGTATTTTCTTACTGTTAAGTACTATTGGTATAGTCAAAAATACAGTCAATTAAACCAATTTCTGACCAGTCTTTAGAAAACATTTACTATAAAATAAATAATAAATAATATAATATAAAGTTATACACCTATATTGTTACGGAAGAGGTCTGACACAACAGGTTAGTTATATACAAAACAGTTTATTAGGTCACAGTGAGTACTGGTGTCGAGTCCGGAGGAAGTGACGGTGAGGGAAAGGTCCGTGAGAGCGTGCAGAGGATATGGAGCCAATGCCTCCAGCCAATGCCTCCACTCCTCTAGGGCCAGCTTGATGGCAAGGAGTTCTCTGTTGCCACCTGGCTCCGGGAGTAGATGAGGATGTCATCTATGTATACAAGGATGAACTGATGGAGAAACTCTCGGAGCACCTCGTGCATGAAGTCTTGGAATACAGAGGGGGCGTTGGTAAGTCCATAGGGCATGACCAGATACTCGTAGTGGCCTGTAGGGGTCACAAAGGCAGTCTTCCATTCATCCCCCTCACGTATTCGGATGAGGTTATAAGCACTGCGGAGGTCCAACTTAGTGAAGATGGTGGCCCCACGGAGATGCTCAAGGGCACTTGGGACGAGGGGAAGAGGATATCGGAACTTGACTGTGATATTATTCAATGCTCGGTAATCGATACAGGGCCTCAAGCCTCCGTCCTTCTTGGCCACGAAGAAGAAGCTTGATGCAGCATGGGAGTTAGATGGAAGGATGTAACCTTGACCCAGCGCCTCCTTGATGTATTCCTCCATGGCCTGCTCAGGAAGCAATAGGGAATAGATCTTTCCACGAGGCACTGGCTCACCCGGAATGAGATCGATGGCGCAGTCCGATGGCCGATATTGTGGTAAGCAGGAGGCTCGGTTGGGACAAAACACGTCTCTGAAGGGGGCATAGCAGGCTGGGATTTCCAAGGATTGCTTCTCAATGGGACTCTCAATGGAGGTGGAATTCACGGAAAGGGCCTCGGGGAGTTTCTTTGGAGGAGAGGGAGTCCCGGGGAAGCAGTCTGGGAAGCATTCCTTGCCCCACTTCAGGACTTCTCCTGTCTTCCAGGATAGAATGGGATTGTGCTTTACCAACCATGGGCGCCCTAAGATGATGTCCGCAGTAGACCCCTCCAGAACCAGAAGATGAATGTCCTCCGAGTGAAGAAGGCCCAGACGAAGAGTGATGGGTCCCATGCGATTGCGAACATGTCTACGGCATAGTGGCGTTCCAGTTATCGACTGGACTTGGTAAACTGTTTCAGTGGCGGTAGCCTGTAATTTGAGCTGGCGGGAGATGTCGTGGGAGATGAAGTTTCCTGCTGACCCGGAGTCGATAAGGGCTGATACTGAAATAGAGACATCAGAGGCAGTAAGCATTACACAGGTAGTGAGGGGCTCCATCTTAATAATATCAGGTCGAATCACACTCACCACGGGACGTGGGGGACACAGGGGGCATGCCAAGATCGTATGCCCTGGAGCTCCACAGTACAAACAGAGACCCCGGGTCAGCCTTCTCTGCCACTCAGTGGATGATAATCGTTGCTTTTCCACGATCATGGGTTCTGGCGCTGTTTCTGGAGGATAACTGGGCTCTGGTCGGAGGAGGCAGAAGGTTGTGGCGTGGACGGGTATGGCTGCTAGACAGGACTGCATGCGGCTCGAGCATCGGATGGACAGTTGGATGAATTTTTCCAATCCCAACGAGTCATCATAGGCAGCGAGTTGTAACCGAAGCTGGGGTTCCAGCCCCTGTCTGTAGGTGGTCAGTAGCGCTCTCTCATTCCATCCACTCACCGCAGCGAGAGTTCTAAACTTCAGCGAGTATTCAGCAATTGGCATGGTCCCTTGTTGTAGGTGATAGAGGCGCTCTCCCACAGCGGCATCTCCGTCTGTCCGTCCAAACACCTCGCAAAAATGCACCTGGAAGTTCTGCAGATCTTGAACGACGGGGCTGGCCTGAGCCCAGATCATTTCCGCCCATTGCAGTGCAGGTCCTGTTAGCAGGGAGATAATAAAAGCGATTTTAGAGGTGTCGGTGGGATATAATTTGACCTTCGTATTAGGGTTGTGCCGATAGATGATAGCATTGTGAATCTACAGTAGTCAGAGATATCGCCTGTGGCTGATGCCTTTGACAATAGCAAGACATTGATTATTATTATTATTAGGCTAGTAATACTATCTAATTAATCTAATTAATATTAGGGCTTATTTGTTCCATCCTATTTATTTTCCACATTTTTACAGTGTTGTGCACTATAACCAATCACACACGATTCTGTTGATCCTGAGTTTATGAATGCGATGGTCAATCAGAGGCGTTCAAATGAGTCATCTCTGAAACACCAGAGTTTTGTTGTTCAGTTCAATTCTCTCATCATAAACAACAAAGTGCAGATGCACTACGACGTAAGTATAAGAGATGTATTCATCATAAAGTGTAGACAGGTTCACTGATTATAACGGGAGTGTTTTTTAACTTGCTCTAGCGAGAATTGGACCTTAAAATAA